ATGTCCAAATGTAGAAAAATACTTCAACTATTTTCATTCGTTTTTGCTCACCGTTTCAGCTTAACTTTTGGAATCACCCAGAATAGCCAACATAGAGCTACTAATGAATGCTTGCATCACAAGTTTGTTAAAGACACCTCCGGCGATCAAGTGGTCCGCGAAATGCCTCCGTGCATTTGGCATCGTTGTCCGCATTCGCAGAGAATATACCACTTTCGTCACTCGAAACGGAGATAAAGAAGCTAGAGACGCGTGATTATTGCAACCATTGCAACCACGATTACTTTCACTCTGCAAGACAACGGCTTACAAGCGGAATTGCGTGTGTACATAGCGTTGCCTGGAGCGTCGTAGGTGATTTCCTGTGCTCTTGCCGGGAATTGGTTGCACGTCGAATCCTGCTGATTGGGCTTGCCGACGTCCGACAAACTCGTCCAAGGCGCCCACTGCTAAGGGGTCTCTGTTCAGAGTGTTCCCTGGACTTTTTGCTTCTTTCTCTATTGGGGAGTTACTTATGGGCCACCGGTTCACGATTAAGCACCCACTAACCGGGAATCGGATCGCGGGAATTGTTTTCGACTTAGCGCGCTCGCACAAAGATTTAACCACTGACAATGGAAGTGCTACGGAACAGCGGACCTCTTTGCTAGAAAATACCATCTAGTTCCTGCTTGTCAAGGTAACGTAAGCCTTCAGTACCACCTGATAATGTATGTTTGCTTGAGGCAGGGAATAGAGTTAATGCATGATAACCCAACTAGGATGGATACGTCTCTCTCCTGTGAGAGACTTCATTTGAACTGCTTTTTTTAAGTTCAGCTTGCATTCGAGCATTTTTACTGGTTTATGAAAGCACAGCCTCTTCGGATTTCTTTGTTTCAGGCCGTTCCGGCTAGAAAAGCGGAGTTGGACAATAGAATTATGGATATTGTTAGGCGATATAAAAATAGCAACTCAACACTGACTCTATCAGAGAAAACGGCTGCACTCAAGGTAGTACTCAACTGGGACTTCATGAAATTTGAACCGAATTTTGAAATTGAAAAGCTTTCAACTGGTTCAGAGTGACATAGCAACTCTCGGAAAAAAATCATCTCGGAATTTCTCTGAGAACATAGTTAAAGTGACTCTTTTAGGAAGATTATGTTGCTATGCTGAAAACTGAAGGACTATTCAGATGGTCTACATATTACAAAACTGATGAGCCCGATCACTGGAAATGGACATTTGGAAGCAGTTTCTTCTATTCAATGAATGTTTACACAACAGTTGGTTATGGTGTGTTCTACACAACTTGGTGGTGATTCTAATACAGTAGTACTGACTACCACGACTTCGTATCCCGGAAATGGGAGCAACGCGCTTGCAATTTTTTATCAACATGGCGTGGGACCCGATTTGTGTCAGGCTCTTTCATTTGAGAAAGCCTGTCATTTTGTCGCTGTGGCTAGTCGACGACATTATAAAGCTGCCCAAAACGGCAATATCCCACCAAAAAACAAACCGCCAGCCACGTTCAAATCATGAAGTACGCACGACCTCCTCATTTCACCCGTTTTTTTCACACGACTTACTTACTTTGGATACTTGGAACTCGTTTTCAAGCCGGTTCTTTTCGCAAGCAGCACCTGCTTCCATTAGCGATCGAGCCATGGTTGTTTGGCGTGGACCGCGTGTTGCCATGCCTTCTGCATGTTGCTTCAAGAGTCTGCTCCAACGGGTTGGCAGGGGCGCAGCCTTGCGCGTCGATCTCTCCGAATACCAGAATGTGTGCGAGTGATCCACCGATCGTCGGCTACGTCACTCATATGTCCGGCCCATCTCTCTTTGCATCCACTGCGTATACCTACGGCGATCGGGATGACTGAGCGCAAGTTCTGTACTGGGCAGGAGTTGGCGAAATATCTGCTACGGCGGTTGATAATTCAGCACGGGTCCGCGTTCCAGAATGCTCGTGGGTACGTGTCAACATCAGCGTGGACGCCTTGTTCTCTGCCCACGTCTCGGATGCGTAACAAAGTGCAGGCAGTACTGTAGAGTCGAATAGAGCAGCTCGTATTTTCCTGTCCGAAAGTGAGTGGGCCGCCTCTCTTATGCGTCCCATTGCCGTCCATGCGCATTTTTTGCGTCTCATAATTGCAAATTGTTGTCCATAGAAATGAGTCGACCAAGGTAAACGTAACGGTCGGTATCCGGTAGAGCTGCACCATCGAGTATGAATAGGTGGACGCATCGGTCCTACTCCGTTGCGCATGACGCTCGTCCTGCTCCGGTTAATCGTGAGGCCAATAGCTTTGCCGACGTTGTTTAGTTCCTCCACCATCCGCTCTGCTAGCCTGCCGAGTTTTGACTGATAAAGACAAACTGTCCCGCTGGCAAATCGTGGGTTAGATAGCTTCTTTCCGTCGAAGTTGACGCCTTTATCGTCCCAGTCGAGTTGCAGCATCGCGTGGTTGAGTGCGGTGGTGAACAGCTTGAAGATCGTATCACCTTGTCTGACTTCTTTTTCGATCGGCACTCGTAGCTCTTGTTGAAGGAGGTTAGTAGATTGTGTTCATGTGGCATTTTGTCCCAACAGGTTTATGTGGCCAACGGGTCGACACCAGCATGGTGTATCGCATTGCGAATAGAGTTCAGTTTTCGACACTGTCGAAATGCCTTTTCGGATAGATCGATGGCGACAGGAGGAGCGGTTTGCTTTATTACCTAGTTGCGCACAATTCAAACTGCTGACAGTATGGATGTGATCCATGCAACAGAAGTCCCTTGCAGAATCCGCCGCCCAGCCATGTTTGAGGGTTACCTTCGTGAACAATTGTATGGCTGCGAGAGGAGGGCGATGGGGCTGTAGTTCTTCATTAGGTCGCGCTCGCCCTTCTTGAACAGAAGAACCGTGCTTGACGTCTTCCACTGGTCCGGGACCTCTTGCGTCCATGTACCTGTTATAGCGCCTGGTGAGCTATTTTATGACGGTGCGGGACGTCGACTTCAGAAAGTCTACTGAGATGCGGTCAGGTCCTGGTGCCTTCGCCGCTTCATTTGACGCAAGGCGTGTTCCACTCTCGCTCTTCTATCTGTGGGCCGCGTCCTGCGTAGGTGTAGGTATGCGTGGAACCGGCATCGTTGATCGGTAGAGATCCGTGTAGAAATTGACGGCGATCTCTTCAATCCTCGCTCTCGATGTCTGCGGTCTGCCCATCGCGTCTCGCATAACCGTGGTGACCGAGCGAGAGTCGTTGATGTCTCGACGACATCGTTTGAGACTCGCTGTCGCTCCCGCCGCTTCCTTCCAAACGAGTATTCTTGTAACGCTAAATCGACTCCCTTACTGGCGATGCGGGGCACGCTTTGCCTGATCAGGCGCGGCGCTCCGGTGGTTGATGGCAGGGCGATGGACGACAGCGCGTTGCTGCAGAAGTGCGCGAGCCTTGTCGTCAATCCTGCCCTTCGAATCCGTCCTTGTTGTGATAGCCGATGCCATAGCGCAATGTAGAAGTCCTTCTATGAGCATGGTATAGTCTTGCGACAAGTCTTGCGCCTCCTGCCACGTGTAGTGAGCGGCGGCTGCCTCCACGACGTTTGTGTCGTAATGTGGCAGCCGTATGGGAGGAGGTCGGAAGAAGTCGCGTCTTCGGATTGTCGCTCGGAGACGAAATTTTGGCTCTGACCCAGCCTATGGTCCTCCCAGTGCGGAATGCATCCAACACGCTGACGTCGAGCAGACTCCACTTCCTGCTAGTGAGAACGTGGTCGATTTCGCTGTGAGGTGGCATTCGGGCTCGATCTTCTTTCGCGTGAAGAACCTGTCTCCGTGAAGAGATGCATCGCTCTAAAATAGGTCGATCAAACATTCGCCGTTCTCGTTGTTCTCTGGTTCCTTTGAGTGCCCAGTGCGGCGCTGTGCGCTGAATCTCCTCATGGGATGACTTTCATTTAAAGTCTCCGACAATCATATTTGTAGTAGGAGCGTCTACTTTTTATAATCCTACCTCCATTGCTTGTAGAACGCGTCCTTTTCTTCGTCCGTAGCTGTTGACGTCGGTGCATAGCAGTTGATAATACTAACGAAAGTGCGCTTGTCGATGCGTAGACGTAGGATGGCCAGTCGCGGCCGATCACTTCGACTGAATCGACCATTCTCTTAGCCGATGGTGGACGAGGAATCCAGCACCACCGACATTTCTTCCGCTCAGTTTGGCTCCGAGAACAATTACGTGGCCATCTTTGGTCTTCCTAGCTGTTTCTTTTGCTTTTGTTTCTTGGGAAACGATGGCATCAAGAACAAAGTCCTTTACTACCTGCCAGTAGCTAACTGGGTTCGGTCGGCTATCGAGGCAAATGGTGCGACAGTTGTAGGTGCAGACTCGTAGACAGTCCCCATGCCTCGAAAGCCTTTCGTCCTGTGCACTCCAAATATTACGGCGGTTTTTGTCTGCAGGTCCCTTCAGGTCGCCGTTTGCTCCAGTGCATGTGGAGCTCGTGCTTCCTTCTGCGCCGCTCCGATCCCCTCTGTGTGTGTGATTGTAGCTTGTCATTTACCAGTTCTCGGGTACTACCCTCTGATGGTGGTAGTTCCTACACACTGTTACCGAGATACTTCCGTGGGTTCGCCGCGCCATCGCCTATTTCAAGGCGCGCAGTGGTAGGATTTTGAGGGGGGTGATTTTGAGGGATTTTGGACCACACGACACGTGGTGAAATACCTGGACTGCAAAAGTAGTTGGTGAGAGTGAGGAGGGAAGGGAAAGGATACGCGGCGATGCCACCATGCCACATCATGTCTGCTCGTCCATCCCCTTTAGCGAGATAGCGCCTGGATGAATTTGTAGTCCTATATTTCCTGCGGGATATGGATCACGCGTATGGAAGTGGCGCATCGTGTAGTCCTTTAGGCTCCGTTCATACTTTGCAGCAGCGTTCACCAGTGGCCAATGGCGTCCACCAGCGTTCCGAGCGTCCAGCAGCGTCAACAACTAGGGAAGTGTAGATATCGATTTACCATCTGACAGCGTTCTCCGACGTCATCAGCGTGCGCCAGCGTCTACCAGCGTCCACCAGCGTTTCGAGGGCTAGGGAAGTATAGGAATCGATCTAGCGTCCGCCAGCGTGTACCAGCGTCTTACTAGCGTCCGGAAGAGAAGAGTATGGCGCCACAGGAGGACAGCAGACAGCTGGTAGAGTATGGGGAGATAGGAGGGTGGCAGACTGCTGGTAGAGAGTATGGCGCGATAGGAGGGTACCAGCTGTCTGCTACCTTCCTATCGCGCCACACTCTCCTCTCCCGGACGCTGGTAAGCGCTGGTATACGCTGGCTAGATCGATATCTATTATCGGTCGCTGGTGGACCCTGCCGCAAATATGAACACAGCCGTAGATAACACGCAGACATAACCTGGAACAGTGCCGCCTCCTCGCGCCGCCTCCCTCTCCCCCCACCCCAGCTGCCCTTGTCCCGACCAGCGGACCATCTGATTCTAGAACGCTCGTGTTTGATCTAGGAGTGAGGTGGTTATTCCCACAAAGGGCGCTACAGGCAATTCTTCCGTTAAAAGTACATTTCCGTTAAGGAGCAAGATTGCTCCAGGTGGCGCTGCATGCGCTGGTGTCTGATAGCTAGTTC